AAAACAAACACACACAAAAAGCACATTCACATGGTGTGCTGTGTTTTTGCTACACTGTAAAACCACATAGGTTACAGAAAGTTAACTCTTACTATTTAAGGAAACATTGCAGCAAACTGTTTAAGTTTTGAAACCAAATTGTTTGAGTACTGTAAGCATATTGAGTCATATAAACTTATATTATAATTTATGTTGATATTGTCAGTTATTTAGAGTATGAGTAGCTTAAACATGGTTAATTTTAATTGGTGAGTTTTTTAATAAATTTTTAGAGCATACATATACTGCCAATCTTATACCCATAGTCTGTGAAAAATCTGTCCGTGAACAATCTGTGTTTTCCGTTTATTTATGGTTGTGAATGGCATTATGAAAGTTTGATCTCTCCTCTGTTAACTTTAAATGTTAAAAATTCCACTCTACATCTAAAAAAATCTGTGTTTTCTGTTGATTTACAGTTGTGAATTGCATTATGTAAGCTTGATCTCCGCTCTGTCGACTTTTGATGTTGAAAATTCAACTCTCCTGTTTAACAAAGTGACTTATTGAAATTTTAGTAGTTTGAAATAATATAATGTATACAAAATAATATATAGAGAAATGAGTCAGCAAAATAACAGAAAATGTACTGGCCATTTATTACAAGGCTTTTATTCCCTAATATCGCCTATCCAAGTTGCCTGTCCAAGTTTTAGGAACAACAAATAATACCTTGACCTCTAGTAGATCATTTGATATCAGAAGTGGCTTACATGAAAGGCAAATGCCTCTAGATTATGCTTAGTTTACCAAAATGAAATATGATCATACCTTGGGTTTTAATTATTTAATTAGGACAGTAAGGTCTTGTTACCTGACAGAAATAATGTACAATATAGAATATAAATTCATGGTGCTATTTATACATCTCTGCAATGACTCAAATGACTTATTAATGAAGTCATCTGGAGTGCCAAAGAAAGTGTTTTTGCAAGACTACCAGAGTTCATCAAGATTCTTTGGATTCATCTTCAATGCCTCCTTCTTCATTTTACCCCAAACATGGTGACTGGGCTGGCCAATCCTAGAGAACCTTGACTTTCTTTGCTTGTAGAGGCTGAAGTATGAGAAGGAGTACTATCCTGCTGAAGAATTTGCCCTCTTTCTTAGGTCTCCTCTCCCAGAGAATATTATTTTAATTAATTAATTAATTTAAACTATTAATATGTTTTACTAAAGGGTAAAAAGTTATTAGAGGAATGATCAAGGTTCCTATGCAGTTCAAAAGCATAAATAAATGGAGAAAAATAAAAACATGAATGACAAAATATTCAAAACTGCTAATTTATGGATATTTCTTGTAGAGGAACAAATACAATATACTCATACTTGTATATACAATTACAGTAAGCAAAATCCTTGTTTTATTATAATATTTGTTTTGTTTCATAACCATGTTTTTCTCTTGTGAGTGATTGCAAGATGAGGTTTTTGTGAGCTTTTTAACTTGAGTGACTTAATATTCTGGTTTTAAGCCTCAGTGATTCTACAAAATTTGTTTATAGCTGTAATAGAATGAAATTCCACTCTGTCTAAATTGATATGCTCAGTGGTGAAACGGACTAAGCCTGATAAGTGACACATATTTGCGGTGCTGGGCACATTTAAGCTTTTGTATTTCTAAAGTGTCTGTGAGTCCTCAGATGACAAAAATCAAATGAAACATAACAGAATAATAATGGGACACCGTGGTGAACTCAGCTGAAGAATGAAAAGACTGAGAAAAAAAAGGTCTGCAGGAAAAAAAAAGACTGCCTGACCAGTGTAGCAGCCCATGAAATTGAAGTTTGGATGGCTGAACGTCTTTCAATTTTTTGGAACTGTTCTGGAAAAGAAGGAAAATTGATTGCTGCTCTCCACTTTAAAGGAATTGATCCCTGCAATCAAAATATGGCTGACATTCTTGGCCATGTTGTACGTTGGCGCTGAAAACTCTGCAGTTACGGTTAACATGTTCGCCCGGATTATTGAGAAACAGCATACAGTATTTGACGCGAGACTGCATTGCCAACCACTCTAAATCTACCTGATCCAAATTTCTGAGTAAGACTGAGTGTGTACTTCACATGGGGACTTGCTTGAGAGGTTAAACAAGCAATTAGAGGAGCATTTAGAAGTGGAATGTGCTGGAATCTCAGCATGATACGATTCCACTATTGTTTTAATAAACAAAATCTAATTATTCTAAATATGGAATAATTGATGATGGACGACTAAAATATTGTCATTCTGTATTCTTGATATCCCATGGCTCCATTGCTAATTATAAAAAACAACATTTTATAGCTAGTAACAGAGGCTTGAGATACTAATAAACATTTAAGATACTGTAGATGAAGGAGATTAGACATTTAAGATGTCTGTGAAGCATCTCTACTTTATATAGGAAAGCTGAAGGTTTAACTGCTTAAAAGACAGCAGTGTTATTACTGATAAATGCTTTTTATTTGTTAGAAAAACAGCGTTGACAAGGACCTTTGAAATAATTAAGAATTTAATTTAGAAATAACTTGGCTCTATTTTGCAGTTGTATTTACAAGTACCACTTACATAGATTATTACATTAGATTATTTTTTTCAAAGCGATCCACAAATGAGACCAATATTAGCATTTTATAAAAAGATACTGTGACAAGTTTAACTTAGTTTAGCATTGTGTGTGTGTTTTCTTATACAGACAGAGTTCTGTTCTATTAAATATTAAAGGATTAAATGGTTAGTTCAACCAAAAAGGAAACTTCTGTTTTTAATTTCTTACCCTCGTGTCGTTAGTTTAGCCAAATATTACAACACTGTTATTAATTTCTTACCCTCATGTCATTAATTTAGCCAAATAATACAATTCTGTTATTAATTTCTCACCCTCATGTCATTAATTTAGCCAAATAATACAATACTGTTATTAATTTCTCACCCTCATGTTATTGGTTAAGCCAAATAATACAATACTGCTATTAATTTCTCGCCCTCATGTCGTTAGTTTAGCCAAATATTATAAAACTATTAATAATTTCTCATTCTCAGGTTGTTCCAATACCCTGAGACCTTTGGTCGTCTTTGGAACACATATTAGGCTATTTTAGATGAAATCTGAGAGCTCCCTCATACTCCAGGCAGCAACTGTCCTGAGATGTTCAAAGTCCAGAAAAAGAGCCCAAAACATTGTCATTCAATTCACCTGTACCACATGTCTTTGGACTGTGGGGGAAAACCAGAGCATTCAGAGGAAACCCACATAAGCACAGAGAGAACATGTAAACTCCACACAGAAATGCCAGCTGACCTAGCCGGGACTCGAAACAGTAACCTTCTTGCTGTGAGGTGATTGTGCTAACCACTGAGTCACCATGTCGCCCATCCCCATATTGTTAGTTCAACCAAATATTAAAATTCTATTATCAATTTCTCACTGTCATGTTGTTCCAATCCCCTAAGACCTTTGTTCAACTTTGAAACTCAAATTAGGATATTTTGATGAAATCTGAGAGCTCCCTCATCCTCCATAGACAGCAATGGTCCAGAGACGTTCAAAGCCCAGAAAAAGAGCCCAAATTATTGTCAAAACATTTCATATGACATCAGTGGTTCAACTAAAATCATACAAAACTCCAAGAACACTTTTTTTTTGTGACAGAAAAAATTTAAATATGACTCTGATCTAGGGAGGGTTTGGTGCTTTAAAAACAATTTAATGACAAGCAAAAGGATTTCAAACAATTAAAAGGGTAAAAAGAATAGGTAGAGATGGACATGTTTAGTGTAAACTAAATTTATGGTACTACATATTTAATATCACATATTTACATTGCAACTATATGACAACTGCTTCTCATTAGGGGATTGGTTGACTGTAAGGTAAGGCCCAGCAAAAAAAAAAAAAAAAGTGTTTATTAGACATCTAATAGACATCTAGACAGCTTGGCTAAAACAAGGCTAAACTTGGGTTGTCAGTGAAAATCTAATAGACATCCAAGAATAGCCTAAAACTAGACTAGTCGTCAAACAGACAGATTAGACGTGTAGTCATTCATTTCTGTTTATTTGACGACTATTCACATGGTTTATTTGGCGTATACTTAGACATGTCTTAGATTTTCACTGACACCCCAAATTTAGCCTTGTTTTAGCCAAGTGTATTAGACATCTATTAGACATCTTTTAAAAACAACAACAACAACAACAACAAAAATTGCTTGTAGGAGGGGGGGGGGGGTGGGGGGGGTGGAATGTTGAAAATGTACTGGTGGGGCATTGTTAGTAGATATGAAGCAGACAGTCCGACAATACTCTAAGGACAATTAATTGGTATGTTGCAATGAAACTTATGGCAAATGCTTACAAAAGACCATCAAAATAAATTTTAAAAGCTTTAAATGATTACCAAGTATACAAAGAGCAGGTCAGTGAAAATCAGTGGTCTAAAAAAAAATAAGTGGCATTCACACCACCATATGCCTATACTTACATCACGAATGTTCACATATAAAACTTGTCATTACAACTTGTAAATGGATGCTGAAGTTCTAACAGCTTTCCCTTGTACCATGTGACATCTTTACCACTTGACTACCGTACAACAGTTACAGTAGTTGACAGCAACAATGAGCAGCAACTTGCAGGAAGAAAAGCCATTGAATAATTCCCACCAACAGGACTGTGATTCAACACCTTAGTCACAGTTTCTGAGCTCTCACAGCACTTCAGTTTATATTCACACTCCTCTGAGAGCTGAACAACTTTTGAGAATGAAATCGATGGTGAATTGACCTTATGGCAGCTTACTGTGTGTAGTGGGAGGAGAGATGGAAGACAGCAATGTCTGTGAGTGAGAGAGAGAGAGAAAGAGAGAGGGAGGGAGCGTGGCACCACTTTACTGAACACAGTAAATAGTAAAGAGTTGTGGTTGGGACTGTCCAACCACTTGGACTCAGACAAGCAAACACAGGACATCATCTGTAACAATGAATGACATCAAATTGGCCTTACTGGGCAGTGAGGGAGCAGGCAAATCTGGTGAGTGCTCATCTTGTATATTGTGTTTACGTTTTATTTGCAATTGACCAATTTTCAGCATATTTGTTTTATCTTGTGTGACTGTTGCACAGTCCTTGCATACTGAGTTGGAAATCATCTAGATGCGAGCTGCATAGAAATGAGTTGCCATCTGCGAACACTGAAACACTTTGTATATTGGAACAGATCATACAAGTGAGGCAATTGTTATACAAGCCATCTGAGAGGGAAATTAAAATAGATGGTTGTAAGATGCAGGTAATTGCTGAAATTGGGGAAAGATTATTTTTTGTTCCACTCTGCGGCATAGGAACATTTAGCCCTTCAGGGTGCATACCTGTGCTAATGACTATTAAGTGGTTGAGAAATGATGATGCTACGTCCTCTGGGACACAAACTTTAGTTTTGAGGAAGTCGTGAGTCTGGGTTTTGATCCTAATGACCAAGGGTGAATGGAGAAAAGAACAACAAGGAAAGCGTATTGGAGATTTGAGGGTTTGTTAGTAATATATGGCTGAATCGTGACTACTTAATGGTTTATATTTGGATTGGATGAGGGGGTTGAAAGCAGCTTTCACGAGGCTGCCGGAGAGTGTGTATTTATGCACGGAAACTCAAGCCCTGACTTCAATGACTCAATGAGCCAGCATAGCTTCATGGCTCAAATATTTAATATAGACCAGGTAGTGTGCTCATGGAGAAAATGTAACGATTTTTTCCTGTGCCAAATATGCACCAGAAGCGCACTGCCAAGTGGCCAAGTCTTTGATGAAGAGGGGCTGGACTTTGACCTTGTGACCTATCTTTCTATTTCAAGCTGCCATACAAGTCAATTACATCAAAGCTGCGGATGATCAGTCTCAATAACTAAATAATCAATCATCTGCTCTCTCTTGTCTGCAGCGGTTTTGGTGAGATTCTTAACCAAGCGGTTCATAGGAGAATACGCGTCAAATGCCAGTAAGTACAGTCTCACATGCATTTAATAATGTAACCTGAACTTTACTCATGTGTTTATGGGTTTCATCTAGTTTTGAATTGTGCTTTATGTAGTAAATGTTACAATTCACAGAACAAATCTTTTTTTTTTTTTAATACATGGAAAATAAATGTTCAAAACATAACTGTACCTCTGTATAACTGTATTATTTAAACTTGTTGCAAATTAAAAACTCTCTTCAAAAAAGAGTTATACAATTCATTGTAAAAATGTCTTTTAAAAAATGTTTTATTTATACATTGTAAAACACATAAAAAATATATCAAAAGGACAATATAAACATGTAACAATAAGCAAATACACTGAAGAATATTTTGAACAAAATGAAACGAAACGAAACAAAGCTAAACAAAATAAAACAAAACAAAAAACACCCGTGCAATCTTACACACAGAAAATACAGGTCTACAATGTACCAAGCTGGGAGTTGGGGGTGGGGACTCAATCATAAGGAACAGGGTCAAGTTGAAGAGTATGGACATGTTTGCGAAGGGGTTTCCACAGTTTAATGAAAATAGTGCTTGGTCGGTGTAGTGAGTACCTAATTTTTTCTAACTTAAAAATAAAATAAAAAACATTACTTATCCAACTAGTGAGAGGAGGGTAAGTCTTCCAGTTCAGATGAAAAATGTCATTTTTAAAGCAATTAAAAACTACAGTAGAAATGATCTTATGCACAGTGGCATAGCAACCGAGGGTGGGGGGGCATACGTCCCCCTCACTTTTAGAGACAGACCATTTGGAAACAGGTGATTAATAATTATATGAACAGAAACATTTGGATCTCGTTCAGCTGTCCCCCCACTTTTAAAATGTCCACTACGCCCCTAGTTACGCCTGATGACAAACTACAAATGGCATAGTTCTTTTTGGCTAAACAGGGTTTAAAATAACTTTTTATGCACATATAAACAGTGAATTACATTATAATACATTTAAAAAATATTTAAATAACTACATAACATCACATTTGAATATTTTTTTTATTGAAAATACTCTGTTTGTTACAATTACAATGTTACATGTGTTATGTTTCCTGCTGTTGTTTTTTTGTCTGACCCTGTAGAACATTAGTCAGAGACAGTCTATTTTTTTAATGAAAACTTTCAGCAAGTAAATTTTATCAAAATGTATGATTATAATAGATATCAGTTTTTAATTACAAAGTACATTTTGGTTCTTTAAGCAATTTTGGAAAATAATTTTGGCACAATTGTGACACCCCATATTATATGAAACATTAAAACTGTCATATTAATTTCTGGCTGCCACAAATACAAGTTTATCTTATACTAGTTATTTATTTTTATATGGTTAATCTGAGAAAATTCAACAATCATATTTCCACCAAAACAGAAAACAAAGTTACAATATATTGTTCTCAAAAAATTAAGTGAGTCCAGTTTTGTTTTGAAGTTGTTTGTCTTTCACCCAACGGTTAGTTTCACCATCCAGCCAAAAACTTTCATTTTTTTTATATGTTTATTTTTATAATATGTATATTTTTACAAAGATGATATAACTTTTGTCCCTTTAAATAACAAATATTTCCCATTATTTACATTAAATGTAAAAGGCCCAAGGCCTAATGGTTGCGGGTAGCACAATCACCCCACAGCAAAAAGGTTGCTGGTTTGAGCCTCAACTGGGTCAGTTGGCATGTCTGTGTGAAGTTTGCATGTTCTCCCTGTGTTCACATGGGTTTCCTCCGGGTGCTCCGGTTTCCCCCACAGTCCAAACACATGTGCTAAATAGTAGATGAATTGGGTAAGCTAAATTGTCCATAGTGTATATATGTGAATGTGTGTGTATGGGTGTTTCCCAGTGATGGGTTGCAGCTAGAAGGGCATTCACTGCGTAAAACATGCTGGAGAATTTGCAGTTCATTCCGCTGTGGTGACCCCAGGTTAAGAAAAGGACTAAGCCTAAAAGAGAATGAATGAATGAATGAATGAATGTAAAAGGCCCAACCTTGTGTACATGAAGGGTAAGGGCACTGTACTGTGTTTTCAATCACCCAGTTCCTAAAAGTCTATCCTATCCAATCATGCCAAGGATTCCTGAAGCTCCAGGTAATCACTCTGATACTACACGTGTATCACATCACCAGCACTCATTCTTTACTTTTATTGATTTTTATATGAGCATCTAAGCGTCCACCTTCATTTCAAGGGTCAGATTTTATGACGCTCACGTTTGTTTGAATACCAAGGATTTAATCCGACATTGTTTGTTGCAGACTCTTTATACCATAAAAGGCTTTCCATTGATGGAAGACAGTTGAACTTGGAAGTCTTTGATCCATGCTCGCAGGTATGTGTTTATTCCTTCATAGCGGCCACTCTGAGCTCGTGGCTAGCGTTCGTACAAACACTGCCATAGGGCAGCATGCTCAGATGTACCTGCTTCATATGGGAAATGTATGTTGTGTTCTGATAGGATTTATGATCCTTCCCTGAAGCGGAGTATACAGTGCAGACCCTTTGAAAACTGAGCTGTACGGCTTACAGCTGCTGCATCTGGGACCTTTTACTTCGGCAGTTGTTGTTTTACTTTGATTTCCAAAAGCGAAGTTGTGAAATGGGCACCCTTCTAACCTGAAACTAAATGCTTGTGTATACACAACATCCAAAACCAAAACTTCTGGTGGAGAAATACTTTCAACTGTAAACATTGAAATAACATGGTTCACTTTTCCATTTTGTCAGTCTGGAGCATGCATTTTTGACTGGAGTTGTGTGTGTCCCTTCGTCCCCTGGCAGAGTGGAGAAAGCAGATGTATCCTAGAGGAGCCGGTGGATTGGGCTGATGGCTTTGTAGTGGTGTACACCATCAGTGACCGTACGTCCTTCCTAAATGCCAAAAACATCCTGGCGCAGATCAAAGAGAGCCGTCGAGAGACCTGTAAAGGGTGAGTCAGGTTCTCTATGGTGACCTCTTGACCTTTTGTCTGATGCTGACTGGAATAAGAGGATGGAGTTTTAATGAATTAACGAGAACCATCCGCAGAACTCAGAGTTGAGGCTTCCTGTTTGGCTCTGTGCACATCTGTAAAGGACAGGCTGGGTCATATGAAATTATGTAGATTACTACAAGACCATACTATGTACATACTTCCCTGAAAACTATTCAAGTATGTTGATAGGATTTCCAATGGTTTTAAAGACTGACCAGTGGGCCATTGCTTTCCATTTTAGTTCATCATATTTTAAAGGAATTTAGGAGTGTGGATGGATTAAGTTTCACTGGGTATTTGTCATTTGAACAAGTCCTTTGAAACAATAGTAAGTGAGCATGAGACTGGGCATCTGGAGCCCATTAGAACTCTTGAAATGGGTAGTGAGATCACTCATGATGGTCAGAATCCAACATGTCGCTCAAAATTGGCTTAAAAGATTTGACACTTCAAGAAATGGAAACAAGTGGTTGTACTTGTAGCGAAGATTCGGCTTTCCAGCCCATTTCTTTGTTGTTTGAGCTTGCGTGTATTTTACAGTTGTTCCACTTAGCATGGTGTCATATGAGAATGTGCAGGATTTGTCATTGTTCCACTTAAAACACACACTGTGAGAAATGAACCTCAGTGTGTGAACATGTTTAATGTCAATATTACATTACTACAGCATTATTGGACTTGATTTTACTTAATACATCAAATAGCATGGACATGTTCTTTTGAAAGCCAAACCATTTGATTTTATTCAAATAGAGAGGTTCCTGTTTGCCTGGTGGGTAACAAGCAGGACCTATGCCACAGCCGTCAAGTAAGCGAGGAGGAAGGCCGCGTTCTGTCGCAGGAGTACAAATGCCTCTTCCAGGAGGTGTCTGCAGCTGAGAACTACCTGGAGATCTCCAACCTCTTCACAAAGCTCATCCGGCATGTGATGGAGCAGCTTAAGCACAGGGGCGACCGCAGGCGGTACAGTGGGTCTAAGTCCATGGCCAAGCTCATTAACAATGTCTTTGGCAAGAGGAGAAAGTCTGTTTGAGTGGTGAACATAAAAGAGTCGGGCAATGAGTCAGTCTCCGCTAAATCGGTAATGGAGATGTTTCCTTGTTAAACCTTATGTTCTTGGAAAGGTTTTACATGTATAGAGGTATGCTTAAGTCCAAATGACCGTTACACTCTTATAAATGAAGGTTCTTTATTGGCTTTAATGGTTCCATTAAGAACTTACTCGACTTTTCCAGGTCTAGAAATCACATTGGAATTGAAGCCTCATCATACAGAATATCCAGGTTGATAATACTGTTAATTCCAACTTAAACATTACCAATTAGATTTGTCTTTATTCTTAGGCTTAATATGCTTTTTAATATAATGCTTTTTTGGTTTAATTTTTAATTAAATCTTTTGGCCCTTTTGGAAGTTTGCTGAAGATCCTTGCTGAGAACCACTAATAGAGAATATTATTAGTCAGGGTAAAGAAATGACTGTTGAGGGATGTTATTATAAATTTAAAACAAATAAAGGCATGTGTATACAAAACCACATTGGTTTACTCTATCAGCTCGTTAGCTGTCACAGTATCCCAATGACACACATTTTACCCTACCATTAAATTTTTTTCAAGAGTTAATTTAAGAGTTAAACTCAAAATACTTTTCCTTTAAAGAAAAATGCGACTTAAATGAGTCAACTTTTGCTTTAAATTTCATATTTTGACATTTGTACATTGTATAATAATATTTTCACTCTTGCTGAGAAGAGTGGGGAATGTTTGCAAATTCGTGAAGCTTTTGCTTTGCCTTTCAAAGAGTTGCACACATTCTTTTCCTCGCTATCTAAAAATGTTTTGATGGCATGAGACCGTGTTTGCGTCAAGGAATGCACTACAAAGTCAGAGGGAATTTCATATATCTAGATGCTGTGATGAGGTGTAAAATGCAGGTAAATCACCTTTCTAACAAAAACCCATGGCAGAAGAATGAAAATAATACTCTTCTGCATTCTTCCCACAGACTTCTCAGGGCCTCATTTTGAGTGAAAAAAAAAAAAACTTGTAGACTTTGACTGTGTACAGTACAGCCTCAAGCAAAGGTTTGTGGCGCCATGGAAAATTAACTTTGTAAAAACACAAAAACAATTGCAACTCTTTTTGTAAATAGTACTGATCACCTAATGCTTAAAAAAAATGATTGCCTACACCCTGTTATGTTTTCAAGAGAAATGAAGGATGTGCAAATCTTGCCACTGTACTTTTAACAACTACATTGAAGATGTGTTATAAACAACACAAATCATACAAGAAGGGCATTGGTCCTGGAATATTTTACATTGATGTTGTTGATAAATACAAGTGACATTTATAAGTGACCCAGTTTTCAAGGAGTGGTTGCCCTGATCAGACTACAGTATAATAATTGAAGAGTGTCATTAATACAACCCTCTAAAATAAATAAATAAATAAATACATAAATAAATGATAAAAACCTCAGAAAAATCAATAAATTGATAGCTCTGATGCAATTTTGCTTATCGGATGAAGAACGTATCACACTGATGTTACTGCTGCTAATTTTACAAAATTCTGATTTTGCTTTTTAGCTTAATGTATATGTGCCACTAATGTCACGTGAAATTCAGTGGACCCTTTTCCCATTTCAGAAAAGGAAGATAGTTAGGTAATCGTAATTCAAGTTGTGATTGATAACTTCATTTTTTGGGGGGGCATTTTTACTTGCCTTAATAACAAGATGATAAATTATAGTGTTTATGAAACTTTACAACTTTACTCAGATGAGAAAAATGTGTGTTTCAGTCAGATGTGCAGTGCTATAAATGATGTACATTATATATTTTAACAATGGAAATTATGAAAACTTTTCTAGTCTTACGGTTTTAGTAACAATACAAAACTTGGGTCCAGAGTTTGTGTGATTTGTTTAACCCTTAATCAGACATTGTAACTGTCCAATTCTGTATACGTTTTTGTCCATATGTTATCATTCTATAAAAAATAAATAACAATTTAAATAACAAAATAAATGTATCTTTTTTTCTCTTAGGGAGCAAGTTAAAGTGTTGAACAGGTTAAAAGGTCTATTATTGCAACTTGTTTAAAGAGCAACTTCAATTTAAAGTTCAACTTCATAGTGAAGGACTTTTCCTCAAACTCAGAGTGAAATGCTGATGTATTATTATTATTATTATTATTTTAAAATATATTCAGTAACCTACTACTAATACATTGTTTTCTTGTGGTTAATATAGCTATCTGCTTACAGTCAACGTCTTACTGTATCAAAGTGTTCATCTACTACAGAGAAAAATGTCTTAAACATGTTCAAAACATGGAAATTTAGTTTTGTTTTTACTCTTTAAATCTGATTTGAAGGTGTTTGTTTGTAAATTTTAACTGCAATACAATAAAATGTAAATTACATACATAAAAATGGGATATGCGGGGGTTCATAGTTCTGTATGTACCTTATGTGCTCTGCGAATAATTAGATATCATTGGCAGACTTTCAGAGGAATGTCCCAATAAATCATTGTCCCTTTATTTGTATAGCATTTTTGACAATAATTATTCCAAAACAGCTTCACAATTGGGGCACGTTATTACACTGTCAAAATCAGAAAGGCTTAGGAGTTTTGTCAAAGTCAAAGTTAGCTTTATTGTCAATTCAACCACATACAGAGAATAGAAATTGCGTTACTCTCAGACCCCAGGCGCCTAACATATAATTAATTAATTTATTCATTCATTTTCTTTTTGGCTTAGCCCCTTTATTAAACTGGGGTCGCCACAGCGGAATGAACCGCCTACTTATCCAGCATACGTTTTATACAACAGATGTCCTTCCAGCTGCAACTCATCACTGTTAAACACCCATCCACAATTTAGCTTACCTAGCTCACTTATACCAAGTTTTTGGACTGTGGGGGAAACTGCAGCACCTGGAGGAAACCCACATGAACACGGGAACATGTAAACTCCACACAGAAATGCCAACCGATCTAGCCGAGGTTCGAACCAGAGACCTTGTTGCTGTGAGGAAATTGTGCTACCCACTGCACCACCGTGCTGCCCCTTAACATATTATATTAACACAAAAAGTAGAATTTTAAAAAGAAATAAAAAAAAAATCAATTACAAATATACTATGATCTAAAATAGAAGTAAAAATAAAAGAGGTAAACGATACAATTACACTTAAGGACATATGGCAAGTAGTGCAAGCCAGAGTTGTACAAAAAGCTTGTAATTAAGATAAATATGATGAAGTGACAACGTCTTAATAATGTACAGGGATGTAGCATGAGGTTCTGTAACTAGCAGTCCAATGTTACACAAAGTGACCAATGCAAATGTATGAGTGTGTGTGTTTGCATGTTGAGTGTGTGTGTTTGTGTATAGAGTGGACATTAGTTAACCTCAGTTATACAGTATATAGTGTCCTTTTCAAAAAGGTAATGTCCATGTCTGTAATAGCCTACATTTTCAATGAAGCCCATGTCCATCATTATAAAGGAAGACTAAAGACATCACGTTCCACTTTCAAACGAGACAAAACAATGTCACGAACTTACAGGATCTAGTAATCCACTAGATGGAGACAAACACCTATTACTACTAACTTTGTGAACAAACGGAAAACAACAGAGAAACACATTTTGTAACGAATGTCAGTCCGTTTGTTTTAGTTTATTTTAACATCTCGAAATAGTAATCCCTAATGTATATAGCAGAATATGCAAACAGCGTTTTTTGAATAGGCCAAACAAATTTTACATATCCTATAATTGTGCCCTGTACTGTTGTGCAAGAATACAATAAAGGAATATATTGCAAAATTGCCCCTACAAAATATACTGTGGCAAAAAAAAGTTTACTAGGAAGAGACCTTGAAGTCCGTTCGTTGCAATGATCCGATCAAATGAAGCAGCGAAAAAGAATCGGTTCGAGATTCAGTCGAGTCATTTAAAATGTGACTGTGAAAACACTGACTAGAATTTGATACTGTACGTTGGATGAAGCAGAACAATCGCATACAATATTTTGCACCCTTTGTAAATCAGAAATTGTTCCTGCGTGTTAGCATTGGAGTTTATATATTAACTAAAATCGAAAATACAGTATTTTACTGTATATAAGTGGACTAGTATTACCATGTAGCCTACTGTCCCTAACTGTCCCTCAGTAACTGATGTAAGCACATCCCTGGTTGTGTCTCTTCACATGCAGGGTGCAGGTGTCTCGTGTTTCTCATGTCCCTCACACCACACCGTAGCTCTCACTCCCTCCCTCTCGAGGGAGGAAAGTTTGGACAACCGCAACGCAAGTGACACATATGAAATTCTCATGCATGAAATACCTCCATGACATCTAAGAGGCATACCAGAGAAAAAAGTCTTCACAAATATAACAAGTCATATGAAAGGTAAGTGTGGAGTTTCGTTGTGCTATAATAACTCGTTAGCTTTCATTGAAGAGGAAGCGCGAGTTGGCCAAGCGCTCTGTGTTGCCATGGCAACGGGGTCCGGAATGGCAGTACAATTTTCAATTCACTAATGTGCACCTAAATAAATCTAACTCAACCATTTCTCGAGGAAATTTTAATGAAGACGTCCCTGTAGTCGCATAATGTAAATAGAACCATGAGTTTGAAAGCTTTGTATTGCTTCAATTGTCCTTGCAGTTAAACACGAATGAAAGAACTTGTGAAGAATTTTGCTTGACTAGTTAACAGTTGCCTGTTAAAGGTGAGAAATGAGAAGACCTCATTAAAGTTAAACAAATAAGTAATTACTTTGTTCCGTTAAAATGACAGAAGAGCTGTGCAGTTGTATTTATAAAATGAAGTGTTCAAAGGGATTTTTTTTTCTGCAGACTGAGGATATAGTCACCAAACCACTCCATACTCAAGCGTAGTGGGTGTTTTGAAACATAAGGGAAAGCAATAAAACATCTATTATTATGCAGGTTCTATGCCAGATAATTATATTTAGCTGGAACAGGTCACAGGGAGTTAATTGCTACTT